ACCTTATAGTGAATGTGTGCATGCGAGGTTTTGAAGAATCTAGAAGAAGAGGAGTGATTGAGCTCCAAGTTGACGTGTAGCTGCTTCATGTACTTAGTCGATTTGATCTACGTGATATCCATTGAACCCATATTGAGTTTTTTTTATCCTTAACTCTAAATTCAGAAAAAGAAATAGAATTCCTTTATATATTGAGAAAAAAAAAATTCTTTAGAATTATATTTTAAAGATGAAAATAGAGATGAAATGAAATAGATTTTACTCTAAAATAGAGTTTATAGAAGATTGGAGGGTTTGCGATGAGTACGATTTGTTGGAAGTTGATACATTACTTAATCCTGCAAAAGAGAAACGAAGATAAAGGTGAAATGATGATGAAGAGCAGAGACATGAGTAACAAACTGATGAAGAAGAAGATGAAGAGATGTAACACCGAACCATTTTTCTTTTGAATATAATTTAACATTCGATTCAAAAAAAAAAAAAAAAAAAAAAGAAGACATGAAGGATCTCAAATCAGACCCAATAAGAAATGGGTCTCGTAGTTTTTTTTTGTTTTTTTGGGGTCAAACAGGGTCATGTAGTTTATGCTTTAGGTTTAAGATAGAAACAACTATTAGGTAATAGAGTATAAATATGTGTATTGATAATTTGTTTCGAATATTTTAGGGCACCACAAAATTATTAGGCAACAAGCATTTATTAATTCGGTCCCAACATATTATTCAAACCTCCTATACAAAACCAAAGAGTTGGTTAAAAACAAAAAGTTATACACAAAACACGTTTGTAACAAACTATTTGGATTTTTGTCTCATATTTTAATCTGCTATCAACCAATTACGTAACACAAAACATGTTAAATTAGGGTTTGTTATGGGCTTCCAACTCAAAACCAATTGGCAATGAGTAGATATACCATAACCCTTTATATATTACTTTAGTCTCATCATATCTTCCGATGTAGGATCTTTCTCCACAAAACACGTTCTAACAAACTACGTTTCTTTTCTTTGCTTCTTCACACTACTCATACTAATCTTCTTAATCCTTTGTTCAAAAATTTTACACGGAGAAGTTATATACTAACTTTATAGACATAATATATTTATAAACCAAATTATAAGAAGAGAGCGTACATAATAATTACACGGTTAGCAAGAACAAGATGATTAAAATTATCCTTAGTCTGTCTGAATAATATTGTCATTAAGATAATATAAGGTTGGTCCATGCAGCGTGTACAGACAGTCTATAGAGCATGCATGTGATAAACATATCAAACGAATTTTGTGTGGTTACCAATCGTAGCCCAACTAGTATTTAAGGGAGCCTTGTTTCATCACCAATTCATCAATTCAAGCTTATAACTCGCCACATATCAAACAACTGATCAACTGAAAGATGGAAGGCAAAACTTTGATTCTAAGTGTGCTCGTTATGAGCCTCTTCATGGCTCAAATCCAAGTTGACGCCAAGACCTGCTGTCCTACCACGGGTGCTAGAAAATCCTATGATTATTGCCGCCCACTCGGACAACCCAGTTCAACATGTGCAAGCTTCTTTGGCTGCAAAATCATTGGTAGTGGTAATTGTCCTAACGGATTTACCAACAATATTCTCGAAAACACAGGTAAATTGTGTAATATTGTGCTTTATTAAGTATTAAATTTGTTACAATATAAATCAAGATCTCTTTTCTTTCTTTTGTGTTTTGATTTTTGTTTCTAGGTGATGCTTTATTAATTTATTATAGTTTGATCGGCTAATTATTTGTATAGATATTTTTATTTGATTATATCACTCAACTATATCTCGTGTAGCTAATAATTACTTTTCTAATCTAAATGTTACTACTTGTTTTAATTGTGTCCCTCCATCTTCATATCATTTTACTTAGAAATTATATCTCATAAATTTTATCTACCCTTCAGTTATGGAATTTACTCACGACACTTTCTCTTCCTATATTATTGAATCAACAAAAATAATTTAAATAACAAAGTATTCAATCAACAAAAATACTAATGTTGGCTTACTTACATTCACTGTTTTCATATCATTAGTAGTGTACTTCACTATTTTTAAAATTTTTTAGGTGATGGAACAAAGTTTTCATGAGACAAGCAAAAAGATTTTTTAAACAAAGTTAAGAAATTGAAAGAGATAAAAGAATAGACATAAATATAAGATAAATACCCTCAAATAGCACTAAACCAAGTATTATGGACAATTATTGCACACACTCCACAAATTTCTCAAAATAGCACTAATTAACATGATTACAATATTTTTAATTATTTTTTTGATTTTTTTTTAATGTTTGAATGAAATATCTTCATTTAGGGCTTAGTTTTAATGGGTGTAGGATTTAGTATTTATAGTTTAAGATTTTACTTTTGAAAGTTTAATCATAAAATATGATGCTAATTTTAGAATTTTGTAGAGTGTGTTATATTTGGAAACAAAAGTTGTTTTGGTGCTATTAATGAAAATTGTCTATAATATCATTATAGTTAATAGCTAGACTTGGAAGGCTCATTATTTACGTATTCAAAGCGGGATCAAGCCCAAACGTAGTTCGATCACAAAAAAGCGGGATCAAGCCCAAATTTCATTATTTGTCGGAAATTATGGTGAACAATGTAGAAAAGATTATCCCTCTCTTTGTCGGTAGTCTTCAACTTGTTTTTATAGCCTCTTTTTTTCTCCTTGAGTATCATCACTTGGCCTATATTCTAAAATTTTCTCACAAAATAACTCCATATATACTAAATTTATAAATCTAAAAAGCAAATGTAATCCTTTGACTTGACCATGGTTATTGAAAACCCTAAATAAAAAGGCTTAAAAATAAATGCATTATAACATAATTCTATTAGTTTACCTTTAACTCCGTGTTGATCCTTGAATATTCAATTTTCTCGATTTTTTATTGGTACTCTAAAATGTATCATCAGACATCTTTAAATTTTAGCCCATCAGTAATGACTGATTGTATCTTCGTCGATCTAACCGATTGTATTTTGGTCGATCATTGTCTTCAGAATAGTCATTTTGCTTAGAGAATTCTGATCCAAGTCAATCTTCAGAATATCATTTCACACACAATTAATCTTCAAGATAATGCTTCGACCATGGAACTTTTGAAGAATATATAGTTTATCTCATTCCATTTTAATTTTGTGTAGGTTTTAAGTACTTCATAAGTCTGTGCAAGATCTTAATCTCAAGAAAATATTTTTCTTTGCCAAAATCTTTCATGTGAAAACATTTTCCAAAGTAGTCCTTAAACTTTAAATCATACGTGGATGATTTCCAAAACTTCCAAAACTTAATAGATTCTCAACATTAGAATATGAGAGTGTGAAAAGAATAATTTGCATATGATTGAACAAACGAAACTTGCGTTGAGGAGTTTGCTTTAGACCATATAATGATATATAGACTTCTTCTGTTGGGATCTCTAAACCAAGCCAACTTTCCATTAGTATGATATTGTCCGCTTTGGGCTTATCACTCAAGCCCTCACGGATTTATTGGGCTCCTTCCCAAAAGGCCTCATACTAATTGGAGTTGGACTTGACTTATATATTAGAAACTTCTCTTTCTAATCTTCCGATGTGGGATATTGGTTTGTATTCCAATACTCCCCCTCAAACCAATATTCACTCCCCTAGGTCCACAATCTTGACCTAGGCTCTGATACCAATTGTTGGGATCTCTAAACCAAGCCAACTTTCCATTAGTATGATATTGTCCGCTTTGGGCTTATCACTCAAGCCCTCACGGATTTATTGGGCTCCTTCCCAAAAGACCTCATACTAATTGGAGTTGGACTTGACTTATATATTAGAAACTTCTCTTTCTAATCTTCCGATGTGGGATATTGGTTTGTATTCCAATATCTTCTTCTCAATTGGGTGTGCCTCCCAGTTTTTAGACAAAACAATGCTTAACAAAGTACGAACCATCTTCATCATTCATGCCCACATGAGAGAAACGTTTCACTATACTACTCTTCAACTTCTACCTTATAACAAGTGACATGAACTATTTGTCAAGTGGTTTTGAGTTTAAAGATTATGTAAATCATCACTTTCATCATCTCAATAATATCTCATGTTATTGGTTATCACAAGCAAAAATTTGTTTCAAATATTTTAGTACACCACTCAAATTAGGCAAAGAGGATTAATTTATTTGGTCCCAATAAGCATCTCCAATACAAAACAAAAAGTTGGTTATAAACCAAATAGAAACACCAAACACGTTCTAAGTTGTAACAAACTATTTGGATTTATCTCATATCATGATAAGTCATCTCCATCAATCATCTAGATATAACTAGAAGAGATTTGATAGAAGATCGTACAACCACAAAACCGTTGGTTCTAACAAACTACTCATACTCTTTCTTAATTCTTAGTTCAATATTATTTTACATGACAAAGTTTATAGACAGAATAATTATAATACAAACTCCCATAAATACGTATGGGATTATTAGGGATTCCCTATTAAGCTTCAACATATTTTGTTTTTGTCTTTTTCCAACAGAACTCAGAAGAATGAAAAAAGAATAAGAAGAAGATTTCAAGTACCCTATCGATTAAGATAAGGTTTGTCCACGCAGACAGTCTATAGAGAGCATGTGATAATAAACATATCAAAGGAATTTTGTGTGGTTACAAACCGTAGAGCTACTAGTATTTAAGGGAGCCTTGTTTCATCACCAATTCATCAATTCAAGCTTATAACTCTCCACATACACATTTTGCAATCAAACAACTGATCAATCCAAAGATGGAAGGCAAAACGTTGATTCTAAGTGTTCTCGTAATGAGCCTCTTCATGGCACAAATCCAAGTTTAACCACTCTCCAAAACTCTGGTAAAGCTAACTCTCAAAACTCCTTATCATTACTATCAATTTTCTTAAAAAATAATAAACAAGAGAACATATATATGATATGCTTCAAATTTTTTTCCGATAATTAGATGCAAGTGAAATCGTGAATGAAGCTGTTGGAAACTGTGCCTTGGCTTGTTCTAAAGTCTGCAACAAAGGTTCGATGAATGCAGTGGAAACTGCCTAAACAACCTTATTCACAAAGATCCGAAGTACATCATCTATGGAGTGTTGTTTTTCATGTTTTTCATGATTTCATCAATAATTGTCGTGTATGTGGCAAAAATATAGAAGGTTATCGATCCCTAGATTGTATATGCCTTCTATTCCCTATATTTTCAATAATATGTAATTGTGTCGTTATATTTTTCGTTCAACCATTAAAGTTGCTTTGTGCTTAGCTATATTACATAGTATCAACCATTTTAGCAAACTATTTGATTAATATTCACATAAAAATTCAATCTAAAAGACGAGACTTAAGTCACCACCTTCATATGCCATAAATGATGCATGAAACATACCATAAGTCACGATAATTGTTTTCTTAATCTCACAACAGTAATATCATGGAAACTAAAATCAAAGGTTTCTCAAAAGATTGAAGCCTAGATTGTAAGTCGCAACTAATTTCCAAGACAATGCTTCATTAAACATGGAATTCATAATAGTCGAGTTGCAGGAAATATGGCGATACATGCAGAGAAGTTTTAAAAAGAGATACCGATTTATATATAAGAAAATAGATCAAGATTACAATAGTTGAAGCTAGTTAGAGCAGAGAATACATGAGAGACAGATTTCAAAAACCTAATGTTGAAGCCAATCAAAGTTGTTGAAAAACATTTCTGCAAAACACATTTATTATGTACAACAATGTAACTGCTTCATTTTGCTATTAAAAAACTCACTGAACAATCCGAAATTAGCTTGTCATACGATGGGAAGCTCCAGTATCCGAGAATATACTTTTCTTTTATAAACTAAAATAAAAAAGATAGGTATAATTTTCTTGCATAATATAGTTATCGAACATGTTTACATGTAAAAATTGTCAAGTGGTTTTGAGTTTAAAGCATTTTTTGTAAACTCATCATCTCAATCATTTCATATTATTGGTAACTTTCTTTTTCAAATTATTAACTCTCATATAATTTTTGTTAACTTTCTTTTTCAATCATCTCAAAGTTTATAGAGAGAGAATACTTATAATACAAACTCTAATATAAACCAAATTAGTATAATTAAGAACGTACATAATAATAACACGGTTAGTAAGAACATAAAGAATATAACCAGCAAAACTCATACGAAATATATAATAGTGAATCAAAAGAATGAAAAAAGAATAAAAAACAAGATTTCAGAGCATTAAGATTGAAAAAAAAGAAAAGATAGGGTTGGTCCAACGCAGCATCGACAGACATTTATTTGGCATTTATTTGGTCCTTGATGTATATATTATTTGGTCCCGACTATAGAGAGCATGTGATAAATTAGGCATTTATTTGGTCCCGACGTATATATATTATTTTTTAAAAAATTAATGTAAATTATATTCAAAAGAAACTTTTTTTAAACCTCGTGCATGTTTGTTTGAAATCTAAAACTGAGAAAGAAATTTAGAAACCAAAGCTTAATTTGTAGAGTAAAACCAAAACTACAAGAAAACATACATTTAGCAACTGTAGAATTAGACATTAAATAGTCGCTTAATTGTGTTTTACGACTACTTTATGTAGTCGAAAATACTTAGTCGCTAATAGGAATAGTCGCTATATAGTCGATATACGCCCATACGCACAAGAAAAGAATAAGTAATCGTGAGATTCCAGAGTATTATCACAGAGAACTCACCTTCCCGAACCACCATTGTTCCATTGCATCATACGGTCACCTGTAGCGAGCCCTAGAAGTGATTTGGTTATAACTGATAACTAGAAACACAAAACACGTTCTAACAAACTCTTTGGATTTTTGCCATCATCTAGACATAACTAGAAGAGATGTAGTTATAACTGATAACTAGAAACTCTTATCAACCACAATAAAGAAACACAAAACACGTTGTAACAAACTACATGTTCTTGCGCTTCTCGATTCTTACACAAGTTACGTTCTTATCATTCCCTCCTCAATCTACACATGCACTTTTTCATTCATATATATATTTAAAATTATTTACACGAGGAATGATACAAATCTGTAGACAGAATACTTATAATATATACGTATATAGTTATAAACCAACTTAGTCTAAGAACGTACAATATATAACCAGGAAAACTCATACGAAATTAATAGTGAATCCTTATTAAGCAACACAAATTAAAGCTTTAACCAATTTATATTTTAATGGTTAATCAGAAGAAAAAAAGGAATAAACATATCAAACGATAAGATTAGGTTAGTCCACGCAGCATGGGCAGACAGTCTATAGAGAGCAAGTGATATCAAATGAAGTTTGTGGTTACCAAACTTAGACCAACTAGTATATAAGGGAGCCTTGTTCCATCACCGATTCATCAATTCAAACTTATAACTCTCTACATATACATATTGCAATCAAACAACCGATCAATCCAAAGATGGAAGGCAAAACATTGATTCTAAGTGTTCTCGTTATGAGCCTCTTCATGGCACAAATCCAAGTTGACGCCAAGAGCTGCTGTCCTACCAGCACTGCTAGAAATATCTATAATAGTTGCCGCGTTGTGGGAGGTTCCAGGCCAACATGTGCAGGCCTCAGTGGCTGCAAAATCGTTGATGGGTCATGTCCTAATGGATATCCTAATGAGAATCTTGAAAACACAAGTAAATAAAACATATTGTGCTTTACTATGTACGTTATTTGTCTTAAAGGGAAAAATCAAGATTTAATAAGAAGAAACAGTTAAGACCTAAACAAGCATTGATCCATCTGACTGAGGAAAAAGAAAAGAACCTTGTTGAGTGCAGAGACCGATGAGGGAGTAACTGGTGATGACACTGAGACACAAATCCTTCCTTTTGTGCCATGAATTAGGGCTTTCTTCAGGGAAGCTTCGAACCGAGACACACAGAGAGACCCTGATCAACTAAACCACAAATAAAACACATTTAGTTATATATATATATATAACTGGAGAAAAAATTATTTTAATTAAACCAAAAATAAAACACAATTGATCATCTTTATTTATCTCTCACTTTAATTTTAAACTGAAAAATTTATATTCAATTAAAACACAATTAATTAGATCTCTACATTTAACCCACACTTTAATATAAGAACTGAAATTACATAAATTTGCATTAACTATATTTCTCTACTCAATTTTATTCAACACAAAATTAATAAGAATTAACTCCCACAATTGTTGATTCACTATCACATAACAAAAACATCTATTTTACTGAATTTGCATACATTTTATTTAATTTACTTCCATCATTAAAGTGAAAAAAAGAACAGAGTATTTTATAAGGTTTCACTATCTTCTTATTGGTCTATTTTCTATAAAATGTTTTTTAAATGATGTTTTCAACTAAACCAAAAATAAAACACATTTAGTTATATATATTAAACTCACACTTTAATATAAAACTAAAGAAAAAATTATTTTAATTTAGCCACAAATAAAACAAATGTGATCATATATATTTATCTCACACTTTAATTTAAAACCAAACGATATATATTAATTAAAACCCAATTAATTATATACATTTAACTCACACTTTAATATAAAAACTGAAATAATATAAACTTGCATTAACTATATTTTTCTACTCAATTTTAGTCAACACGCAATAAATTAGAATTAACTCCCACAATTTTTTTCTTCTAAATTATAACTCATCACTTCTCATCTTATAAAGGGTTAGTTAAACGCAGTTAAAAGTAAGTACACAAATAAACCAAAAACAAAAAGGAAGGTATTGATAAGTTAAAATTTAGTTTTTTCAATGAGAGGGAGGAAAAATTACTTGGCTATCCCTATACTAATTTAACAAAAACAAAAATTTTGCAAGGCTGTGAAAGTATCTTATTTTCTGGGCAAATCTCTGACAAGAGGCGCCAACTTGGGGAAAAGTGATTTATATCAACAAAATGATGATGCGCTATATAGATTGCTATCAGATAACTAAGTTGCATATATAGATTGTTATCGGATAACTATGATGTTATCAAATATAAATTGTTAGATAAAATTGCATATATAGATTGTTATCGGATAACTAAGTTGTTATCAAATATATATATGCTGATTAATAATATATAAAGCGATAAGTCCTATGTTACGTCGGTAACCCTATCGTAGTTAAATTTGTAAAGTCTCTGATTTAAATGTTATCGGATAACGTGGACGTTATGGTGGCAAGATTGCATGTCCTCGCTGAATAAACCAAACATAGTAGTTAAACTTGGTTCATATTTTTAGGAGGATAGGGTTAAAATTGTCTACATAAAAAGAAAGCAAAATAATGATTTATGGATGTTAGATTCTTAATTAAATGGTCAACTAGGTCTATGAGTTATAATTTCCCTCTTATAAATACTCATTTTCTCATTCTCTCATTCCCTCCTCCTCTTCCACTTTCTCTCAAATCTTCTATAATTTTGTTTGTTTTGTTTTGTGTTTTTTTTTGTTGGTTATCTGTTGTTTGTGGTTGTATGAGTTGAAAAATAAAATTTAAATACCATTGTAAAAGTTTAATCTAAATTTTAATTTTAGACACTATATGATATATATTTACATTGTTGTATTGATTTTTTAAGATTTATCTCTATTGTCTATTATCTTATAATTAATCTCTCTCACTCTCTCTCTCTCTCTCTCTCTCTCTCTCTCTCTCTCTCTCTCTCTCTCTCTCTCTCTCTCTCTCTCTCTCTCACTACATTCATGTATCTTAAATATTTTTCTATTTTGTGTTATTATATGGATTGAAAATCAATGAAAGTATCATTTAAATAATTTGATCTTAATTTATTTTAGAAAGTATGATATATATCAAACTTAGTTTCAACTTTTATTTCTAATGCCTTATTATACATACTTTTTCAATTTTTATTTCTAATGCCTTATTATACATACTTTTCATACTTATGAGTATAAATGAAGAAAGTATGATATACCACATATGTAAAATAAAAGTTTTGATTGCTATATAAATAAAAGGTTCAATTTAAACCTTTAAAAATAACTTCTTCTATTTTTTAAAAAATCTCAAATATTTTTTTTGTAATTCAATTCAATATATGTATAATTATTTACTTTGTGATCCAATAGATTATTATATAAAAATTGTTATAATATGTAATTTATTTAAAATTTGAGGTCTAAGTGTTTAAAAGAAACAAAAAGTACTTGATTTTACAAATTTGGTCTTTAAAGTTTTATTTTTTAAAAGTCATACCGTTCATAAAAGTTAAATTTAGTTTAATTCATTCATCAATTGAGTAGACAGTGAATTAATGAGCTTCTAAAATCCTATTAAATTATGAGATTTAATAAGGTATGAGTTCTACAATAATATCATATACACTCTACACTCTTAGTAACTTAACCATTTGTTCTAAATAATAGTCTTTCTTTTCATAACAATATAAATATCTACCCCAAGTTAGAATTTCCTAGAGAGACCGAACATAAATTCGATTTCTTAAGAGCAATTCATGATTGTTGTCATGTACATATAATTGATATATAACTTCGTTCATCTTCTTTGTTAATGTTGAGGTAAACATGTGATGCCTTTTTAATATAAATTCATTTCTTTAGCTTTTATAGTAATGTAAATCTTTATGTTTGTTCTTAAATGTTTTCAATATTAGTTTTATTTTTGAACAAATTCTACATAAAAAATTCTTACTATATAAAAAAGGATCTCATCTACGTATATGTGAACAAATTTGTATTACTTTGTTTTGATCTCATTCGGTTTCATATTTTTTAAATATATATTTTATTTACTTTTACTGTTTATAATGTACACATATATGTTTTATATTAACAATTACTTATAAACTATATATATCTTAATGTAGTTTTCAATTTATATTGCAAATTAATATTTCATATACAACCGACGCATTGCGTGGGTAACTTTCTGATGAGTTAATATATTTGTGAATTCGTTTTAATTACTGAGCCTAATTGTGTGTTCTGTCGAAGAGTGAGCTATTTTTTTTCCCTGTGAAGCTTAATTAGTTTCTTATGATCATATAAAGCAATGCGTACATAATCACTTTAGTTGTTTTTATAATGCTACATAGACAACAATTTATGAGGTTAAAAATCCAAAATTTTGATAAATTATTTCATTTAATTTACGTTATATTTTTTTATTTTTAATTGGCACTAGATAAAGTGTATTCTTGACTGAATTTTTAAGTATTGTTTCTACGTACTCCATTTTAAGCATTTGTTTGCCATGCGTGAAATAGATTCAATCAAAGTTGTGTTTAAAAAAAAAAAAAGAGATATCGATTTATATATAAGAAAACAGATCAAGATTACAATAGTTGAAGCTAGTTAGAGCAGAGAATACATGAGAGACAGATTTCAAAAACCTAATGTTGAAGCCAATCAAAGTTGTTGAAAAACATTTCTGCAAAACACATTTATTATGTACGAAAATACAACAATGTAACTGTTTCATTTTGCTATTAAAAAACTCACTGAACAATCCGAAATTAGCTTGTCATACGATGGGAAGCTCCAGTATCCGAGAATATACTTTTCTTTTATAAACTAAAATAAAAAAGATAGGTATAATTTTCTTGCATAATATAGTTATCGAACATGTTTACATGTAAAAATTGTCAAGTGGTTTTGAGTTTAAAGCATTTTTTGTAAACTCATCATCTCAATCATCTCATGTTATTGGTAACTTTCTTTTTCAAATTATTAACTCTCATATAATTTTTGTTAACTTTCTTTTTCAATCATCTCAAAGTTTATAGAGAGAGAATACTTATAATACAAACTCTAATATAAACAAAATTAGTATAATTAAGAACGTACATAATAATAACACGGTTAGTAAGATCATACAGAATATAACCAGCAAAACTCACACGAAATATATAATAGTGAATCAAAAGAATGACAAAAAGAATAAAAAAAGATAGGGTTGGACAGACATTTATTTGGCATTTATTTGGTCCTTGATGTATATATATTATATGGTCCCGACTATAGAGAGCATGTGATAAATTTGGCATTTATTTTGTCCCGACTATATATTCTATTTTTTTTTTAAATAATATAAATTAGATTCAAAAGAATTTTTTTTTTACAACTCGTGCAGGTTTGTTTGAAATCTAAAACTAGGAAGGAAATTTAGAAAAGAAAGCTTAATCTGTAGAGTAAAACCAAAACTACAAGAAAACATGCATTTAGCGATTGTAGAATTAGTCGCTAAATAATCCAACATAATTGTGTTTTACGACTATTTACGACTATGTAAATAGTTAGTCGCTAATAGGAATAGTCGCCATATTATAGTCGTTATACGCCCATACGCACAAAAAAAGAATAAGTAATCGCGAGATTCCAGAGCATTATCACAGAGAACGCACCTTCCCCAACCACCATTGTTCCATTGCATCATACGGTCACCTGTAGCGAGCTAACCACGTCCAAAGGCAAACTTTGGTGTGGCGTGGCGGAAACACAGTCCCTTAGACCAAAACACCTCAGCTATATATTACATTCAAATCTCCAATACAAAACAAAATGTTGATTAAAACAAAAAGAATCACAAAAGACGTTCTATCAAATTATAATTGGATTTTTTCCATCATCTCGACATAACTAGAAGAGATTTAGTTATAACTAATAACTAGAAACTCCTACCAACCACAATAAAGATTTCAACTATCCTTTAAGATAAGGTTGGTTTACACAGCATGGACAGACAGTCTATAGAGAGTAAGTGATATCAAACGAAGTTTGTGGTTACCAAACTTAAACCAACTAGTATTTAAGGGAGCCTTGTTCCATTACCAATTCATCAATTCAAACTTATAACTCTCTACATATACATACTGCAATCAAACAACCGATCAATCAAAAGATGGAAGGCAAAACTTTGATTGTAAGTGTTCTCGTTATGAGCCTCTTCATGGCACAAATCCAAGTTGACGCTAAGAGCTGCTGTCCTACCAGCACTGCTAGAAATATCTATAATACTTGCCGCGTTGTGGGAGGTTCCAGGCCATCATGTGCAGGCCTCAGTGGCTGCAAAATCGTTGATGGGTCATGTCCTAACGGATACACTAACGAGAATCTTGAAAACACAGGTAAAAAATACAATATTATGCTTTATTATGTACGTTGTGTGTCTAGCTTATTGTCTTAAAAGATAAATCAAGATTTAATTGTTTCTTTTGTGTTTTGTCTCAAGGTGATGTTGTTAGTGGATACTGCAAGGTTGGATGTGTATCCTCTGTGTGCGGTGGTTTAACCACTCTCCAAAACTCTGGTAAAGCTAACTCTCAAAACTCCTTATCATTACTATCATTTGTTTTTAAAATAATAAACAAGAGAACATATATATGATATACATTTTCAAATTTTGTTTCGATAACTAGATGCAAGTGAAATCGTGAATGAAGCTGCTGGAAACTGTGCCTTGGCGTGTTCTAAAGTCTGCAACAAAGGTTCGATGAATGCAGTTGGAACTGCCTAGACAACCTTATTCACAAAGATACGAAGTACATCATCTATGGAGTGTTGTTTTTCATGTTTTTCATGTTTTCATCAATAATTGTCGTGTATGTGAGAAAAATGTAGAAGGTTATCGATCCCTAGATTGCATATGCCTTCTATTCCCTATGTTTTCAATAATATGTAATTGTGTCGTGATATTTTACGTTCAACCATTGAAGTTACTTTGTGCCTAGCTATATTACATAGTATCAACCATTTTACCAAACTATTTGATTAATATTCACATAAAAATTCAATCTAAAAGACGAGACTGAAAAAAACATGTTAAATTCAACGAATTTAATTATGTGTTATATGAGTTTTTGCAGGCTATTTAAGTAAAAATATATAAAAAAAGATGCATTGTTTATATTTTTTTAAACATATCTCTGATAAATGATACAATATTCACTAAAAATATCTGATTGAATCAATAAACAACAGATGATGGTTTTGGTTGGTCATATAGCTTACGGTTTTGTGTGTATCAGATTTATCCCTACTATAGTAAAAGAGAAGTACACAAGGGATTCGGGTCGGTTTTTTTAAAGAATTCCGAGTTAAATTTTCAATCGGATAGTTGCCATTATTAAACTAAGTAAAAAGACAGCTTATTTTAAGGAATTATGGTAAAAATTACCTAAAATAGATCTCAATCTTTAGAAAAATATTTAAATATGTAAATTATACCACAATCTTGTGATTTTATTGTTAATCGATTCAAAATTTTATTAAATATCATAACTATAAAATCTTAATAGTTACGATTTAGTTATTTAAATATAGAATATGAATTTTTGAAATATGTAAAATTTTAAATAGAAAATGCATGATTCAAATAATAAAATTACATATTCGTTAAAAATAGGTGGTGTATAAAAAATCTAAGAGTGAACATTTATTTACCTAAATATATGAAGATTTAAAAAAAATATATATAACCAAAAAAGAGATTGCTATATAAAAAGTAAAAAAAAACGTATTTACTATTTAAAAATTAAGTGTATATATAGCAAAATCTAACACCATTTTATATATGACAAAAAAAACTCTGCTTTACCGAATATATAACACCATTTTAATATAGTTTCTAAATTATTTTCGAATTTATAAGAAAAAACATTAATACATAAATGTAACTATAGATCCTAATTATTAAAAAAATCCAAATACTAATTAATCAATTTTTATTCAACTCTAGGTTATTTTAATACACTTTGCCAAAAATTTGACACCAAATATACATTTTGAAATAATATATGTTGATTATAAAATAAACAAAATAAGAACAAATACTATATAACACGTTAAATAAAAACCCAAAATCCTTCACCCTGTAGCGCGGGTCCGATAACAAAATTCTGATACACAAAATAACAAAACCGATACTTTTCCTCCGCGATGTAGCGCGGTTCCGGACCTAGTTGTTTTGTATTAAATGAGATAATATATTTGTGAATTCGTTTTAATTACTGAGCCTAATTGTGTGTTTTGTCGAAGAGTTAACTATATGTTTTTCCCTGTGAAGCTTAATTAGTTTCTTATGATCATATAAAGCAATGCGTACATAATCGCTTTAGTTGTTTTTATAAATGCTACATAGACAACAATTTATGAGGCTAAAAATACAAGTTTATGATATATTATTTCATTTAATTTACATTATATTTTTTTTATTTTTAATTGGCACTATATAAAGTGTGTTCTTGACTATATTTTCCTCTATCATTGTATTCATAACAGTCATTTTAAGTGCTTTTCATTCTCTTCCTTTGGAAATTGTTGACTAGGGTCGTTAGATAGACTTTATAATGCCTATTGATTATTTCGTTGGCTTTGAAAGAACTTGATAATTGACTGATTAGTAAAGGGCTTTGAAAGCATAACCAAAGTCTTTGTATGAGTCACTTTTGATATTAATAAATGATAAACCAAAAAGAGACAATCTTAATTGCCCAAAATAACTTGTGTCATGCTAGAGAAGAGGACTCTCATTATCTCTTGTTCGGATACATAAGTGAGATCTCCCGCCTTGTCGATAGATCCCCTGTTTTGATTCCGCCTCTACATTACTTAGACAACCATATCCATGACGATACGATCTATGTACATCATCTTGGTCTGTTGTTTTTCAGGATTTAAATCACTGTCATGTATGTGACAAAAAATGTAGAAGGTTATCGATCCTTAGATTTTATATGCCTTCTATTCCCTATAATATTCTAATTAGTAATTGTGTCGTGCTATATGCTTTCACTCAACGACCATTCTAGTCGCTCTGATCTGCTTTACTAAATTATACAAAATATTATCCAACTCTTAAACTCAATTATTTTAGAAGAAATTTGCCACAATAGTACGTTTTTAAAAATAAGTAATATATGGGTATATATATGTCAGTGAAACAAACTTACAACAAAGGTTAATAAGTTTTTGCAAACATTAAAACAGTGTGAGAACCTAGTTTGCAAGTCATTGAAGTGCACTTATTTTTTCGGTCAAGGGTTTTGAGATAATTAAGTGTGTTTATATTGGAATAGTCTTACGATGGATAGCTTTCAGGGCAAGGGTCTTTATGTAAATTTAAGCATTTGTTTTTTACGTAAATTTCATCATTTACTGAGTTGAGTGGTTAAGTATTGTTTCTACGTACTCCAACTTAAGCATTTGTTTGCCTAGATTGTAAGTCGCAACTAATTTTCAAGACAATGCTTCATTAAACATGGAATTCATAATAGTCGAGTTGCAGGAAATATGGCGATACATGCAGAGAAGATTAAAAAAAAATTACATCCGTAAAGTATAGACACTGTCACAGTCTTTCCAGGCTCAAATCAAAGTTGTATTTTTTTTTTAAAAAGAGATACCGATTTATATATAAGAAAACAGATCAATATTACAATAGTTGAAGGTAGTAAGAACAGAGAATTCATGAGAGACAGATTTCAAAAACCTAATGTTGAAGCCAATCAAAGTTGTTGAAAAACATTTCTGCAAAATACATTTGTTATGTACGAAAATACAACAATGAAACTGTTTCATTTTGCTTATTACAAAACCCACTGAACAATCCGAATTTGGCGTGTTATTACGATGGGAAGCTCCAGCAGTATCCGAGAAAATACTTTTCTTGTATAAACTAAACTAATATAGTCATCGAACACGTTTACATGTAAAAATTGTCAAGTGGTTTTGATTATAAAGCTTTTTTTTTTGTAAACTCATCATCTCAATCATCTCATGTTATTGGTAACTTTTTTTTTTTCAAATGATTTAGCATTTATTTGGTCCCAACGTGTTATTCAAAAAAGGATAGGGTTGGTCCATGGACAGACAGACTATAGAGAGCGTGTGATAAATTAAGCATTTATTTGTATATATATTATTCATTTTTTTTAAATAATGTTAAATTCTATTCAAAAGAAATTTTTTACAACTCGTGCAGCGTTTGTTTGAAATCTAAAACTGATAAGGCAATTTGGAAAACAAAGCTTAGTTTGTATAGTAAAACCAAAACTGAAGCCCGTTGTCGTAGCGCCGGTCTCCAACGAGGCAAATAGTCGAATATATGTTTCTCATTTGCATATCTATCCAAGTTATAAGCAGGGAAGTTGAGTTCGGATTCTCGCGTGTCTCCTTCCATTTTGCTCCTTCTAAATAGTCTAAATAGCCATTTGTAGAGAAATTAGACTTGAAGATGTTCTTAGCTACTGCTGCCCAAAATTCACCCCCGTACGCACAAGTAATCCCGAGATTCCAGAGCATTATCACAGAGAACGCACCTTCCCGAACCACCATTGTTCCATTGCATCATACGGTCACCTGTAGCGAGCTAACCACGTACAAAGGAAAACTTTGGTGTGGCGTGGCGGAAACACAGTCCCTTAGACCAAAACACCTCAGCTATATATTACATTCAAATCTCCAATACAAAACAAAAAGTTGATTAAAACAAAAAGAATCACAAAAGACGTTCTAACAAACTACAATTGGATTTTTGCCATCATCTAGACATAACTAGAAGAGATTTAGTTATAACTAATAACTAGAAACTCCTACCAACCACAATAAAGATTTCAACTATCCATTAAGATAAGGTTGGTTCACAGTCTATAGAGAGCATGTGATATCAAACGAAGTTTGTGGTTACCAAACTTAGACGAACTAGTATATAAGGGAGCCTTGTTCCATCACCAATTCATCAATTCAAACTTATAACTCTCTAAATATACATATTGCAATCAAACAACCGATCAATCCAAAGATGGAAGGCAAAACTTTGATTCTAAGTGTGCTCGTTATGAGCCTCTTCATGGCACAAATCCAAGTTGACGCCAAGGTCTGCTGTCCTACCACCACTGCTCGAAATGTCTATAATTATTGGGATATTATTTATCATAGTAAATCATATCCCACAATTATCGTACATAGACTTATTTGTTACCTATTCTGCAATGTAAATTATCTGCATATCTTTACTCTTTAGACTAGGTCATCAAGTCCTTGTAATATATAAGTATGTAATGGCCTCTCAATGAAATACGCAGAACACATTCATTCTCTGTCTGTTTATGGTATCAGAGCGGGTCGAAACAGTTTTTTTGATTTTCTCTTAGTTTCTCTCTGCAACTCGATCATGGCTGCAACCAACGAACCAAACACGAACACGAACCCGATGACCGGCGAGGTGAGACGCAAAATCTCTCCCTACGACTTGAGTGCTGCGGACAATCCGGGCGCTGTGATATCACTACCTTTGTTGAAAGGACCGAATTATGAAGAATGGGCTTGTGGATTGAAGACAGCTCTTTGCTCACGAAAGAAGTTTGGATTTCTCGATGGCTCCATTGCTCGTCCTGCTGATGGATCTCCTGATCTGGAAGATTGGCTAACCATTCAAGCCTTGCTCGTATCATGGATTCGCATGACAATTGATCCTTTGCTGCGGTCCAACGTTTCTCATCGTGATGTGGCTAAGGACTTGTGGGATCACTTGAAGAAACGATTTTCGGTGACTAATGGACCACGGATTCAGCAATTGAAGGCAGAGCTCGCCTGTTGCAAGCAAAGAGGTCTCGCCATTGACGCGTATTACGGAAAATTGAATCGCATTTGGGATAACATGGCGCATCACAGACCTTTGCGTGTTTGTAAATGCGGTAAGTGTGAGTGTAATCTCACTGTGCTTCAAGA